AGTATTATAATGAGGCCAAGGTTACTTCTGTCCACTTCTCTGACCATCTGCCCAGGTGTCACTCTTGTGGTTGGCTTTTGGACCAGTTCAGGGTGGTTGGTGTTTACATCTTCCTGGAACACAGCTGAAACCAACAACCTCAAGGATGTTAAAGCAACACTTGCACTTCTCAGCAAGACAAGAGAAATAGGTCAGAGTCCATGGCTGGCTACAAAATCCCTCCTCTAGTTTTATCCTGCTACTCATTCTTGAGGGGCATGGGGTGGAGGTCCATCTTCTGTAATGACTTCCTGCTGAGCATGGGCATTGTCATAGGGGCTGGTAGAGGAGCAGAGCTTTTCCCCAGCTAGTCTAAAGTAAGTCTGTGGGTCACCAGGTATGGCTCCACGCTGTTCATCTCCATGAGTTACGACCATCTGCAGTCTTGTGGCTTCGATACACTTAGTTACAAATTGTACCAGCCAATGAAAAATGTAGGGTCCAAGGAGCACAAGGAGGATATTAACAAGGGGACCAAGACTGGGAGGAACCATGTTAGACTGGAAAGGGCTTATTTGAGTCCATTCCAGATGTGTTCTGTGCTGCCTGGCTGGCTCATTTCTCTGAGCTGAGCAGCCATTTCCAGTAACCTGTTTATACTCTCTTGTGCAGCCCTGCTAGCACTGAAATAGAGATCCATCATTTGGGGTTAGGGATGTGTTCGATTAAGGAATTCAAAGCACTTGGTTATAGGTGTCCTGGGGGGAGCACAGGTAAGGGTGATGGTTAGACCTATTAGCAAAAATATAGCAAATGTATCCCTAGTACTTCTGCCAGGGTAAGTTAGCAGGTCACCGGGATTTACTTATCTTTCTGATATCTCCAGAATAAGAGTTTCATATCAGAGTGTGGCTCACAGGACAACTCAGCATCAGCAACTGCCTTCAAAGATCTCTCTTGGTGTTCAGGCGTAGGTGCCTTCTTTACCCATGTATGGTGGATCCAATGGGTGACTCCTTCTAATTTTAGGGAGAAGAGAGTGGTTAGTAACACCAAACGAGGCCCCACCCAAATAGGACTTAGTTGATTTTGTGGCAATCACTTTTCCAAGTTTTAAGATGGACCCAATCTCCACATTGATAAGGGTGGAGTTTGACCTCTGTAGTCAAGGGAAGACAGACGTTTCCATATTTATTGATTCAGATTGATTATGTGCTTGATTGCCATGGAAACCTCTGGGTCTGGGTTTGTGAGCGAATCTGAGTCTTTAGGGAACAGCCTCCCATAGGTCATCTCAAAGGGGCCTTTAGGAGCTGCCCTCATCCGAGTGAGGGCTGTTGGCAGTAATTTTAGCCATTTGTCCTGTGTCCCTTGGCACAGTTTAGCCAGTTTTCTTCAGAGTTTGATTGACCCGCTCACTTTTTCCAGACAACTGTGGTCTCCAGGCAGCATGTAGACTCCACCTAATTTTTAAAACTCGGGCTACTTCAGACGTTATCTTTGATATAAAGGCTGGCCCACTGTCACTCTGAATTGATCTGGGCAACCAAAAGTAGGGGATTATTTCTTTTAACAACACCTTTGTTACGTCATGCCTTTTCTGATCTACAGGGAAAGGCTTCAATCCAGCCAGTAAATGTATCCACAAACACCAAGAGGTATTTGTATCCCCCAGGGGCCGTGGGCATAACAGTAAAGTCAGCTTGCCAATCTGCCCCTGGTAAATTCCCCATATTTGTGTTGCTCTAGCCAGGTGTGTGTGTGTGTGTAGTGGAGATGTAGTCTGCATATTGTTTTTCTGGCAATAAATACATTGGTCAGTTATTTTGTCAATAAGTTCCTTCATATCTGGGTTCCTTCATATCTGGGGTGCTTAAGACCTTAGTTAGCCACAGATACAGGGTCTCTTTCCCATAATGGGTAGAGTCAGCACTCTTAAGGAGCCCCCAAGCTGTTTGTTTGGGGACCCATATCTTCCCTCATTAGTTTCTCATCCAGCCCTTGACTATTAGGGGCCTGTGGTAGCCCTTTGCGCTGGCTTCCCTTGCTTCATCAGGGGAATACACTGGTGGAAACTCATAGAAGGGTAGAGTGGGAGTTAATGACACCTGGAGAAGGTCTCCGGATATGGCCACCTTTTTCGCAGCTGCATCTGACAAGTTATTTCCCTTTATGGCCTCTGATTCCCCCCTTACAATGGACCACAGCCACTTTCTTGGGGCCCTGTACCACTTTTAGCAGCCTAAGGATCTCTGGCCCAAATTTAATATTTTACTGCTGCTGTTAACAAGTTCCTTTTCTTTCCAAATGGCCCTGCAAGTGTGAATTACAGAGAAAGCACACTTAGAGTCTATATGTCGTTAGTATTTTTCCTCCTCCCAGTTTCAAAGCTCTCGTTAATGCAATTACTTCTGCTTTAGAGCTGAGGAGCCGGTGTCAGCCCCTTGGCTTCTGTGGTTGGATGCAGGGACACTACCGCATAACCTGCTCTTCTCTGTCCGCTACACACGAAGCTCCCCCACCCACAAGCCACACTTCCTCTGCATTAGGCAGTGGTTCACTCGAGATCTCTGCGGCTAGAGTAAACCCGATCAATCACTTCTGGGCAAGCATGGGTAATAGGCCCATTGGAATCAGGGAACAGGGTAGCTGGGTTTAGGGTATGACAGGGTTTTAAGGAAATTTGAGGGGAATCGAGCAGCATAGCCTGATATTGTAGTATTCTATTCTGGGATACCAATAGATGTCATTTAGTCTCTGCTAGGCTAGAGACTTGATGGGGGGTCCACACCATCCTGGGTTGGCCCATAGTCAATTTTTCTGCTTCCTTGATTAATAGGCAGGTGGCAGCTACAGCTCTCAAGCTGGTGGGCCATCCTTTCACCACAGTGTCTGGCTGCTTTGAGAAATAGGCTACCATTCTCTCTAAGGGTCCCAACACTTTGGTTAATACTCCTAGAGTTATTCCCTTTTATGAACATACAGGTCAAATGGTTTGCTTAGGTCTGGTAAGGCCAGTGCAAGCACTTCCATTAGTAAGTGCTTAAAATTATCGAAAGCTTGGTCACACACCTCATCCCATTCAAATGGATCCACTTCTGGCCCCTGTAACTTGTCATAGAGAGGCTTAGCAATTACCCCAAAAGCAGGGATCCAAATGTGGCAAAAGCCAGCCATCCCCAGGAATCCTTGTGGCTGCCTGCGTGTTCTTGGTGGTGAACGTTGATATATTACCATTCTTCTCTCTTGAGAAAGTCTGCGCTGCCCTTTTGAAATGACAAACCCTGATACTTGGCAGTCTCCTTGACATGTGTGCCTTCCCTGTAGACACTGCAGATCCCTTACTGGCTGAGAAGGTTAGCATCTCCTTAGTAGGAGGGGCTATCAGGATGTCATCCACATACTGTAACACAGTGCTCTGTTTTAATTTTAGTTCCCTTAAATCTCAGCCCAGGATTTCCCCAAAGATTGTAGGGGAGTTTTTAAATCCCTGGGGTCAGACAGTCCAGCAGTACTGTTGTTTCTGGTGGGAGTCTGGGTCCTCCCGTTCAAAGGCAAGAATCTCCTGGCACTTGGGGTCCAATGGGATGCAAAAGAAAGCATCTTGTAAACCCAGCACCGTATAAAACACGCTGTCTGCAGGGAGATTAGCCAGCAGGGTGTAAGAACCAGGCACTGCAGGATACATATCCTGGACCGCTTCACTGACAGCCCTAAGGTCTCAAACAAATCTGTGCTCCCTTGTTCCTGGCTTTGTAACGGGTAAAATGGGAGTGTTCCATGAACCTTTCATGAAAGGAATCCTTCTGAAAAGAAAAGCCTTCTGGGCCACACCTGGGCCTCCCGGTTTTGTCTACTCCTCTCTGCACAGAGACTCTCTGCCCAACTCTGGAGACACTTGCAGATCTTATGGTCAGAGTGTCCCCTCTACTGTAGAGCCCCTCCCCTGGGGCACAGTCCCCTCCCTCCCGCCCCCTGCAGAAATTGTTTTAAATTGAGAAGAAATTTTCACGTATTGAGGTACATTGGGTATCTATTCTGGACTGAACTAAGAAAAGCCTGACTTTTGGCCTATCAAACATACATTGTACATCTACTTTAACCATTGCAGTAAAGAATGCATGAAATGTTATCTCAAAGCAAGAGCACGCACTCTTTGAGGATAAGGGTGCATGCTTCCTCTTCTAGGACGCTAGTACCTTGAAGATTAGTTTCCTTTCCTGGACTTCAGGGTCACATTGACCAGCTAATCTGCAGCTGAATATCTCTTTGAAACTTCAATGAATATGTATCCTGGGGACGTGGGATACGTTCCTTGTTCTACTAAGGTATAAAACTGTACTGAAAACCATGCTTCTCCGCAGCGCTTTCTGCTTCTGTTCCGGCTGCTCCCCCTGGTTATGACCCTCAGTTTGCCCAAGTAGAATTCACCTTGCGCCTCTCATCTACAGAATGGTTAGTGGTGATCTGCGTGGACACAAGGAAAGTCTCTCTCTGAGCTCGGATTGTTCATTTCCCACAGGCCTGACCGCGTGTTCACAACCGCCCCTTTCTCACCCGACTTCTCTCAGCCTCTGTCCTCCCCCAGGCCCCGACTCCCCGCCCCGCGGGAACCAGCACCGAGACGTCCCGCTCCCCTCCGGCCCCGCCGGGGAAAAGCCCTTTTCCGGGGGTCGGCGCTGGAGGACCTGAGACCCGCCCGGCCCCCGGTCTCCGGAGCAGCGTCTCCTCCCCCAGGCCGCACGGCCTCCCCCGTCAGGTCCAGGGCGGGGCCCCCGCGCGGCCCCCCACCGCCCCCGCCCTGACCGCCCGGGGGGGGCGTCCCTCCCCCTCGACCCCGCCCGGCCAAGGACCGGGGACCCGGGACCCCACGCGGGGCCGGGACGGGAGCCGGGACCCTCCCCGTGGCCGAGGACTCGGGGGTGGGGGGCGGCTGGGAGTGGAGAACTACCCGGGCCCGCGGCCGCTTCCAGCCGGTTCGCACCAGCCCCTCCCGGTCTCGGCCCGGCCCGCGCACTCACCATCTCCGCCCGCTCCGGACTCTCCGGGCGTCCTCCCCGCGGCCCCGCGGCCCCGGCAGGTGAGAGCGACGGGGACCGGACACCTGGGGCCGCGGCCGGACGAGAGCGACGTCCACGCGGCTGCGAGCGCGCCCGCCCCCGGCTCTGATTGGACGGGGGCTCCAGGTCCCGCGCCCGGGTCTGATTGGACGGTGCTGCAGGAGGGGTTGAGTTGCACCGTGCTGCAGGGCCCGCGCCCGGGTCTGATTGGACTGTGCTCCCGGCGTTCCCCTCCCATTGATCCTGATTGGACAGTGCTCCACCACTCCCCTCCTGTTAATCCTGATTGGACAGTGCTCCCAGACCCGCCCATCGCCGGGCGGACCCGGCCTCTCCCGCCCCCCACCCAGTCCTCCTGCATCGGGAAATCCTGACTGTTTCCCCTCAGAGCGACCCTTGTCCGGAGCTGGGACCGGACAGGACGGGCTGGTGACCTCTAGGGTCAGGGGTCGGCCCGGGGGCGAGGTCACTGTGGACCTGTGGCCCGTAAGAGCAAAGAACCTTGACGGCAACATCACCGCGTGCAAGGCAGGGTCCGGCTCTGTTTTGACGTGTGACCTTTGACACCGGGAGGCCCCGCCTCCGTCCCGCCGCCACCTCTGGGGCTTGAGGTCACACCCGCGGCTCTGGGTCCTTTGTCCCCGTGGGAAGTGGGACCCCGCGGCCCCGCTGCGCGCAGGACCCGTCTCAGCACAGCCGAGTGTGAGGCGTTAGAATTCCCGCCTCTGCGTTACTGCCAGGAAGTGTGTTTAGATCCGTTTTTGAGTGTCTCTAGAGAACTTTGAGATATAAAATCTGTGATTCCTTAAGGCAACTGAATTCCTATTTTAACTCGGTCAGAAAAAAGCCATAAAGCTTAAATAAGTGTGGATTGGACCTGAAAACTCTTAATACACTGATTGAATTAAGTCAAAACACCTAGAGCCTTTCATCTGACTGCTCATTCCAGAAAATACCATCCAAACTGAGATCCAATAAAAGTATCAACTCGAATATCATTGACCGTTTTAATTATAAGGATAATTATAAAAATACATTTTCTATGATTTGGAATAAAAGTTTTATTCATTTTCCTAAAAATTAGTGTTTAGGGGAACACATTTTGGGATGGGTTCCTAGGTAGGAAAGAGGCTTCCAATTAAAAATAAATTCCTTTGATTTATACACTATTTAAAAATATGGTTGGTTAAAAATAAATTCCTTTGATTTATACACTATTTAAAAATATGGTTGGTACATTTTTTTTTTCTTTCTGTGAATTAATAATGAATGCTGCAATTCAAAAATTCACCTGGAATTTAGAAAGCTGAGACTTGCCCGGAGCGTGTCTTCCAGCACTCATGCGCTCTTACCCCAGGCTCCCCTAGTTACCAACTTTATTAGCTTCTTGTACGTCTTGTCGGCATTTGTGTAAAAAGTAGCAATTTCACCTACGTGTTTTGCTTTCTTCCCTTTTGTGAAAGATGACACGAGAGGAGCCATATTAAGATAGAGCCGGAGCAGCCATTTCAGGGGAACTGTCTTGCCCATCTTGTTTTCTTCTGTTACAATATTTTTTTTCCTGGTGAAACTATACCATTAGTTCCATCTATTTATGATTTTAAAAAATTAAGTATGTGCTACAGTTCAGCATTAGATTTCTATGTCTCTTATTACCAAGAGCTCAGGGTGAGAGATGCATTTGGATACCTGAAAAGACTCTCTGAAAAGAAACAAGGCTTGAAATGTAGTTTTATGTTGTGGGGGATCAGAATTGGCCACCCCAAAATGTGAAACAGATATCTATTTTCTAAAGAGAAGCAGTTCATCTTTTTTTTAAATAATTTTATTTATTTATTTTCCCCCCCAAAGCCCCAGTAGATAGTTGTATGTCATAGCTGCACATCCTTCTAGTTGCTGTATGTGGGACGCGGCCTCAGCATGGCCGGAGAAGCCGGTGCGTCGGTGCGCACCCGGGATCCGAACCCGGGCCGCCAGCAGCGGAGCGCGCGCACTTAATCGCTAAGCCACGGGGCCGGCCCAGCAGTTCATCTTTGAAAAATAAAAAGGAACTACTGGTATTTCAACTTCTCTGAAGTGATTCCTGCTTCACTAATTAAGAGAAAGACGAGATGGAGACTTGATTTAAGATGAGAAGTCCATTCATATAGATCATGTGGTGGAATAATTGCTCACTCAGTGTTTGGCTCCACTGGGATGAGAGTTTCAAAAGGACTTCATACACCTTTAAAAAATTACCACATCCACCAGAAGAAGATCTTATAATTTAACAGTGATTATCTATTACTTTCCATATTGGTCCATCTTGAAAGCTCATTCAGCCTCATCAAGTATACTAAAGAGTGACTTGTTCACCTTTTATGAAGGCAGGTTTGTGAAAATATTTTAATATGGCCACATCTCCTCATGAACTGTCAGCTTATAACATGATTTTAACCTAAGAAACATACCCCCAAATTGTGTTTTATAAGAAGTCTCCTCTCTACCAGGAAACAGGCATGAAAGATTTTGAACCCAGTTACTTTTCAAGGACGCTCATTCCTCATCTCCAAGTCCAAGTGCAACTCATCACCTTTATAGCTGGCTGTGTTCAAGGCTCATGAGATAATAGAAAATAGCTGTTGGCCTCTGCCCCTGGCTCCTGACAGGGCTCCTGGCACCCTTGTAATTTCCTGGATGATAGGGGTGTCTTTTCCTCTAATGAGGTGACTCTGGCTGGGCTCCTGGCTGGTTCCTGGATGAGGTCTGGTCTCTGGAAAGACTAAGCTATGATTAGAAGCTTGGAATTTTCAGCCTTGCTCCTCCCGTTCTCCTAAGAAGGAAGATGGGCTGAAAGTGGACTTAATGATCAATCATGCCTACATGATGAAGCCACCATAAAGATCCCAACAGTATGGGGTTCGGAGAGCTTCTGGGTTGATGAACAGGTGGAGGTGCGGGGAGGGTGGTGTGCCCCAAGAGGGCATGAAGTGCCACACCGATTCCCACATACCTGGCCCTACACATCTCTTCTATCCGGATGTGCATCTGTATCCTTTACCACTTCCTTTAATAAACTGGTAAACATAGGTAAGTGTTTCCCTGAGTTCTGTGAGCCACTTTAGTGAAATAAGTAAACCCAAGAAGGGGGTTGTTGGAACCTCTGATCTATAGCTGCTTTGTCAGAAGCACAGGTGACAACCTGGGCTTGCAGCTGGCACCCAAAGTGCAGGGCCGGCCCCGTGGCTTAGTGGTTAAGTGCGCACGCTCCGCTGCTGGCGGCCCGGGTTCGGATCCCGGGCGCGCACCGACGCACGGCTTCTCCGGCCATGCTGAGGCCGCGTCCCACATACAGCAACTAGAAGGATGTGCAACTATGACGTACAACTATCTACTGGGCCTTTGGGGGAAAAATAAATAAATAAATAAAATTAAAAACAAACAAACAAAAAAAACTGTGTGTGTATTTGGAGTTTGGGGGCAGTCTTGTGGGACTGAGCCCTTACCTGTGGAATCTGATGCTATCTATGGGTAGATAGTGTCAGAATTGAGTTAACATGGAGGACACCCAGCTGGTGTCACAGAGAATTGCTTGGTGTGGGGAAAACCTCCACGCACTGGTGACCAGAAGTGTTAGAAGTCAAGTGTTCTCTGTGAAGGTACAGGAGACACACACAGGGAAGAAACTCACAGGAGGGAAGAACTGGGTTGTTCCCAACAGAGAAGGAATAGCTGAGGTCTTTTCCATACAGTTGGTGTTAGAGAATCAGGATTTGCTAGATGGGCCCTGGCTCATGGAAACATGTGGTTTGGGAAGAAAAAGGATGAAAGGGTTGGGCATGAAGAACCTTTGATTCCTGGTGGCCACGTGGTCACCCAAGGTGTGGAGCAGCAGCTGTCCTGCAATTGGTTACAAAGAGTGGAAGTTCCCAGTGGCATTTAGAGATGGACCAGCTCCCGGGGAGTGAGTTCACTGGATGCATAAGGAAATACAAACTAATAAGAAAAAGGGGAAATATTCAATCCCTTGGTTATTGTCATCTGTACTAGCTAAACTAAAAGTACAAGAGGATGCTGAGTTAGACCTTGATGCTAGCCCAAACTCAGATTTCAGGGAGTCTGAGCTTCAGCCACTGGCCTCACCACTGCCCCAAGGGAAAAATTATGTCGGGACAACATAAAGTACCTCTAAGATGTCTGGTCACCAAGAAGGTAATCATCACGGGGAGAGGACAAAATCAAGAAACTATTGAGTCCAGGGGGTATAATATGAAGAAACTGTTTCATTTTGTGGATCGGTGTCATCAGTTTCCTGAGGAACCTTTACTGAAATGGATTCTGAGAATAACTCATTTGGGGTTGTGTGTTTGGTTTTGAAGCTGCCGAGTGGAAGAGAGCGTTTGAGGTGATCCAAGACCCACAGCTCACAATCGAACAGTCACAGATGCCTACACATGATCCAGACACACAGGAGGTTTTTCCTGAGGGCACAGCCAGCCTGGTGGACTGGATAAACCCATTCCAAGGTCTGTCTACCCTGAGAAACGGGACTACCCATCTGCTCCTATGAATGCCAAGTGGAACACCCCAGATGAAGCAGCTGATATGCCTTATGTGCAAGCCACATGGGATTGCCTTCCTGATGACTGGGAATATGCCCCTCACTCACATCACAGCAGATGCTGTGGTTAAAGGCATCCCTGTCACATGGCCCCATATGTAGACTTATTGCTACAAAGCCAAAAACCTGTTCAGGAAGCCTTATCAAATTTACCATCTTGGCTTCTCCTCATGGGTCTTACAGATGCTAAAAAATATATATTAGGTTAATTAACAAGAGAATGGGGAGCGGCAGAGGAAAAAATTAAAAGACTGGTCTTAGCAGGGTGGAAATATTTAAATGGTTATTAAGGAATACGGTGAATAAAGCAAATATTGACAGGGGCGACATAAAGAGGAGAGTCATAGGACTTGCCCAGCAGGTGGGGATCTTTAGATGGTTAGTAAGAAATGGGGTCAATCCAACTGACACTGATGGAGATGGATGGATGGATGGATGGGTGAATAGTTAAATAGATAAATGAATGAATGAATGAAACCTCATTTAAAACGGAGCTGGGAGGACCAGAATG